GACGAACACTTGCTCGGGGGTAATGCGATGGACTTCAATTAGACCTCTGTATTTGTTCAAGTCACTTTTTTCTAAGCTTACTGTCTTAACAGACAAGGAGAAAAACACGCTGCTTCCTTCAGTGTAGCGCGCGAGCGGCCCCGGACATATAAGGGTATCACAAACCAGTTCTTGCTCTTTTTTCGTGCCGCTAGGAGCTGCTTATCCCTCTAAGGGTGCAAGGTGCAGAGAACCACGCACCTATTTAATAGACTAGAGTCTCGTTTGTTATCGGAATTAACCAGAGAAATCGCTCCACCAACTAAGAATGGACATGCACCACCATCCACCGAATCAAGAAAGAGCTCTATATCTGTCAATCCTCCGAGAAATTTAAAATGCGACACACCGTCGTGAATGCGGCCGCCACATCCAAAGACGCAGCACGTTTGCATTTCCCCTGGTAACACTGCCCCTTGGAAAGCGCCTGATCGTAGCTGACCTCTAAATCAAACAGGAATGAAGCGGAACGTTATTTTCTCTTTTTTTTTCTTTTTAACCAGCAACTTGGCGAAGGGCTCACGGCTATAGCCACAGCTGCTACAGCACGTCCACCATTGCCGACGCCGAAATGTTTACATCCGCAACCCCCCCTCCTCCCGAGGAGGCGGAGCTTAGTACCACCTCCTCCCCCACCTTCACACCTCCTTTTCCATACACAGAAGACCGAAATGCGCCCAAGTGTGACGCGCATACAGCGGAAGGCAAAGGCGTTTGACACTGGCGCAGGTAAATAAATATACTGCCACCGTTTTTACCTTGCGTGACTTTTTCTTTGTTTTGGCTCATATTTACCTTCCCTGGCCGTAACGTTACCTGGCGCTCCTAAAGCATAAAGGGGCGGTTCACGGGACTTAAGTTGAAAGCCTCTGCGGTCAGTTTCTACTGGCGAAATTAAACTTTTGTACTCGAAGCGACACGTATTTCTCAGCCATTAGGCAGGGACGCTAGGTACATCTTGTCCCCGTGGAGCTGGTCACGTGACAAAGAAATCTCTCTAGGCCACAACCGCGGTCGCAGTCGCGACCGCGACCGCGGTTGCGGCCTAGAGAGATTTGCTCATCTCGCGGCCGCTCATCTCGCAGTTCCCCAGGGGCGGTATGCTCATCTCGCGGACGCGAGATGAGCAAACCGCCCCTGGGGAACAGGACCGTTGGCGCAGAGATGCGCTCCGATGGGAAACCGAAACCTGGAAACGCGTCCAAATGAAGCGTTTTTTACAGAACGCGTAAAATGCCACGGCTGCGTTATATCCTTCTATAAAGAGTTGATTTAATGGTTTTCGATGAGTTTCAGCAAGTTTCTAATTAAAACCATATGTTCATTTCCACTAATTAAAAAGTTAATTAGCAAGGTGTATGTAATTATCCGACTGATCGTTACGAATAGGCCCCTGTACTACGTCCCCCTGGCCGTATAACTCACCTGCGCAAACCACATAAGTGTAGCTTTCACGACTGTTTTAAACAATTATGTAAAGCTTTAAAAAATCGCCTTGTATGCCAGTGAAAAGGGTTGAGGTACACCTAAGCACTTCTTATGAGTTGTGAATGCGAGAGCACGCACGCTGCTCTTCGCTCCCTTTTTTAATCGGCGGCGTACAACGCGCTGACCTTGGGCGTGGAACGGTGAAGCCGCTGCCTCGCGGAAACGCAGCAACATCGGGTGAGCGATCGTTCAAACTGTCATGTGCCTTGGGGCGCGAGTATGGAAGAGACAGTAACGTAGTTCCAGGTAGAACGAACCCCTTGGTTTATCTCATGCGCCGTATATATCGCCACGCGCCGTACAACCGATAAGAAGTGAGCGAATACGGTGTTCAGTAATAACACAACAGTTCGATGGCACAATCAGGATTACATCACACAAACTGAGGCGCAGCGGCCAATGCGAGCCTCGTCAACCCGCGCCAGCCAATGGGACCAAAGTGTAAAAGGTGCCGTTGGCTAGCTTCGCGCGAGGTTTCATTAAGGTGCCGTTTTGCATTGTTTCAAAGCTCATGACGGTTGGGTCACTCCATAAGACAGTTAATGCATTCGCATTAAAAAACGCGATACCAGCATGGTGGAGCCATGAGGGAGAATTCTCCCACATAGCTCCATCATGCTGGCATCGCCTTTTCGCTGGTATAGAATGCCCCCCCATATAACGTTGTTGTTTTTATTATTATTATTAAAGTGATGAGTGAAAGGCAGAGAGGTAAGCCTGGACTTTTGTCCTAGCCGGCTACTATGCACCGGGGAAAGGATTAAGGGATAAAAAGGCCGGATGAGGTGCCTAATGAATATGAGAAGAGAGAATTGAGAGGGTGATGGCTTGAATAGTTGAAAATGTTAGTCTCTGCATACAGGGATTGCATCGACCGGGTGTCCTCGAGAAATTGTTATTTGATTACGTTAAGCTTGTATGGCTCCGTACCCCTGCATGGTTCCGTGCGCCTCCATGATTCCGTGCGCCTCCATGGTTCCGCAATAATCCACTAGGCTGGCATACGATGTCCCAAAACACGACAGACTTGTATGGTTCCGTCCGCGTGTATCGTTCCGCCCAAAATCCACTATGCTGGAGCCGGCTTTTTTGTTGGTAGAGGACGTCCCATAATAACGACAGTATGAGGCTTTTTCCAACATCTTTCCATCATCAAGATTTTCCAACAGGGTAATGATTGATATAGGTGTCAGGTGTCTTGCACGTAATTTTAACGAAGTTTTAGCCCAATGACGCTTTTGCGCGTCGCACAAATTAATTTAACACAACCAGAAACAATCACACCGGGACCCATAAGATTTGCGCCCTAGACTGCGAAGAAATCCAGCTGATGGGATGACCATGACATCAATTGAGGTCGTACGGTGATTGGCCGAAATGAGCGTAGTCCGCTCCTCCTCTTTTTTGATTATAATTTCTTTAAAAAAAAATTGTTTCATTTTTTATTTAGTAGCAACGAAAATTTTATGTTTTTTGAAAGAACGATTTACTACTATAAAAATAAAATAATATTTCAGTCTACGGGCGCGCAGAGGCAAAAGACTGAAGAGCCGAGAGGCGTGTAACTTGAAAAGCGTTTAGTGTGGTATCTACATAAGAACGTGTTGTTGCTGTTTTTTGTTTTCTGTTGAGAAAAACAAGACTGGGGAATCATTGTGTTTTGTCCGGTTTGTCGCGAAATTCTTGGTTCCAGGCGTGAAGGGAGCTGCAGAAACTGTTCTAGGCTGACGCCTGCCGTTTCAGGTACTCCTGCGCGTTCATGTCAAAAGGCTTCTGTCAGACCTCGTCTAGCACGCCGCAATCTTTCCTGCACATCCATCCAGCTTTTCATCCGAGACCCTTTTGCGCCTGGGGTGTACTGAAACATCGGTACACGTTCCTGCGCGAGCCCAAGGCTGCGTTGCTTTCACGCCGAGCCTCCTCGAGCACGACCACACTTGTGTCATGTCTTGGGTTTGTAAAGCTGATTGAACTCTGCGTTCAGTCTCTCACAGTATTCTGTCTCACTTGGTGTGCTACAGTGAGACGCAACCATTATTGATCTTCGTAATGTGAAAGCGCCGCTCACAACGCGATTGGCAATAAACGGTGTCAACAAAAAATAAGGTTCCGACACACAGCGGCGGTTGAATGCGTTTGAATTTGCTTTATTCACGAAGTTCTAAATTTCTGAGATACGTAGTTTTATTGTGCGAAAAGTAACACCGGGTTTACTTTCTAGAACTAACATTGTATTTTAAATTTACCCATGACTCCTTCAAATGCGATAGCATTTTCTTTGATTTACTACTTGCTCACTTTACTTTTTTTGTCACATGATGCAGACGTCGACGTTGGGTTGCCATGGTGACGAAATATGCTGACACGTGCGAGAAGATCCGCGATAGCCAGAAAGCTATCTTGTGCAACCGAAACAAAGGCTTTATATGTGTATGCTGTTGTGTATTGTGCGGCAATTGATAAATAAAATGGGTTTGCCTCGGTTGATCTGATACAAGCTGCTACAGTGCTCTCGCTCTTCGTTGGTTTGTAGCACGGCAGATAACAGAACCTGGACTAATGACTGCTGCGAAGCATTTTTTAAATTCTAGTAAAATTAAAGCAAAACAACCCGTTAGGTCAAGTCTCTGTATTTCGTTTTTTGTGTTATTTTTGCAGCTAAAGCTAAATGAAGTTCGCAAAATGTTTTAATAAGCATTTTATTGTAAAAGGATATTGTAAATACATCCCTACCGAAAAATCCGGTATAACTTTCCCTATCCGGAATATGGAACCGGAAATTTGTTACTGGAAACCCGAAATCCAGATTGAGAACAAAGGAATAATTTCTGAAAACCTCAATTCCAGATAGAGTCCAGATAGAATCCAGATAGATTTCCGGTTCCATAATCCGGATAGCGAAAAGTTATACCGGATTTTTCGGTAGGGATATATTTATTGTGATTATCTTCTCATATTGCCGCGCGCGCAGCTGGCCAAGTAGGCATCGCGCGCGTGGCCTAATGGTTATTGCGGCTACCTCCCACGCGAAGAGCCAGGGCTCGATTCCTGGGAGCGCCGCATCTTTTGTTATTCCTGCAATTTAGTTTTCTGGTAGATTCGAGAATAATCTTGGGCGTATTCGAGGTCCGAATGTTCTACGCGTCGAACATTCTACGCCGATTACTCCAGAAGCTCACGCATGTACATAAGGGGCGCCGCGTGGCGAACCGGACTCAGTTTCGCCTCAGCGTTCGATCCTGCTGCTTCGCCGCCTTCGACGCCCGCGACGCTCGGTTATTACCTTTTGCACCCGTTTATTTTTGGCACAAGTTCGCCCCATTAAACGTTTCAGTTTCCCCAGTTACTCTTTCTTTCGTTTGTTCATTCGTGACGATATAACACTCAATGCGAAAGGCAAAAAGGAACGCTTTTATTTATACTTCTTCAGAGGCATCGATACTTGAGAACGCAATTTTCCACCTTGTAACTGTTTAAGAGACCTCACTATCAATATTTGTGCAGTTTCCGAACCAGCACCGCTGAAAAAAAGGGAACAATTTTCATCTCAGATTTCTCAAATTTGACGTGGCGAGACACCGAGGGATGTTAGCCAGCCGTCAATTTATGCTTGGTACGCGATCCTAAGCAACACACAGAAGTTTTAACGTAGGATCTGTTTATTACGCGTACTGGTCTGGTCTCGGTTTGTGGAGCATAATATACGTTAAAAATAAGCATTCAACGAAAATCGGACAAGGTTAGCGAGAAAACATGTCTGAATACATATAGTTGTAGTACAGGTGTGTATACATGTGCAAACAACTTAAGACAAAACAAACATACACGTATACAAACTATATACAGACATAAAAAAGTGCCTTCTGCGTCAATATCACTTTTACGCAGGTTTGAGCTGTTTGCAATTTGCGACGAACTGTCCTCATTTGTTTCCCGTCCGGTTATAATGTGTGTGCGAGAAACATGTGGCATGCCGAATGGGTTTGGTTGCTTTGAACGAGTCATCAGATAGCACAGTTCGAATTAATTTGAGCTTCACTTCAAGGAGTGGTTTGTAATTAACATCAGAGTAAGAATGCTTGAAATAGGTAAGCGGCGCTTGGTCAATCTGCTGTCATTTTTATTTTCTACGCAGTTCGAAAGACGGCTCTTGCTGGCAATCCTCTCTGTTCAATGTGAAATCGGAGATAGACAGAACTGGGCAGTGTCGCGGTACACATGTATCCCGATAATATCTTAGAGAAACTTTTGAGTATCTGTATCTTTCTTTCAAGCTACATGTGAAATATGAATTTGTATCTCAGTTCTAAACAAAACAAAAAAAAATCGATGTACCACTTGTATTGCAACACTGTGAGAGGCTTAGTTCTCTTGTTACATCCGATGCCGAATTTTAACTGTGCGATTTTTTACCATAAATTGAAAAATTATCTTTTTGGTGAACCAACCCCATAACCCTTTACAAAAAAAGGCCTAAATTATATTTTAAAAACGGTTCGGAGAGAAGTAGATTTTAAAAATTGCACAATAAGCTCCTCTCACGAACTCCTTCACTCTTTCCACGATGCCAGAGGGAACTCCAGAGAAGAGGAGAGTCGGGAAAAGGAAACCTCTTATCATTGAGAGTAGAGGAGCTTATCTTCCTTTAATGGTGCAACAAAGAGAAGCTCAGCTTTTTTTGTTCCAATCTATCCACCCTGGGTGACTCAGGTGTACCTGATAGGACAATTTGAAAGACACCATCCCAGCAAAACCGGGTTTATTTAAGAAAAATGTATTTTGTCAAGCATGGTAGTTGGCATCTAGTCCCAATAGGGGCCGCTGGGGGCGACATTATATTTTCGCACCATTAAAGGTGGCAGAGTGTATTAGACTAGCAATCACGACCTTTTTGAAAACAAATCTAGATATCCTAAAAGAACAGACTGTGTATCACTGAAGATTCATTGGAGCCGGATATTACTTGCACCTCTAAAGAGTCGAGCTAACTAAAATATATATAACATTAATTGTATACCTAGTGTTCGCTAGGTGATGGTATACTGGTTAGCCGTTCTTGTTGCACACATAGAGTCGCTGTCAGTTTAAAGATCGCAGGGTGTGGGCCAATATGGTTTTGATTCTGAGAGCGTGATCGGCTCTTCGACGTTCTTATCCACAGATGCCGAGATTTTATTGGCTACCGATGCAATGGTAAGATGTTCAGTACCCGGCACTTAATGCATTTCTTAAACTGTTGGTGCTCCAGCTCCCCTATCTGACAAATTCCCTTCTCTGCACTCATCAGAAACACCCATGCCCCCCAAGCTACTTGGTAACTTTAAAAAATAAGTATTTTTTGATGTCCTACCTCTCCATTATTCCCGCATGGGTAGCCGAATGGAGCGAAGTGGGTTTTTTCCTTTATTTGGAAGTAACCGTTATTGGTGGTCACATTATTACGGCACGTTATGACGCAGTTCTCCATACTCTGAAAATATTTTTAGCAAGAAGGGTAGTTAACTTCACATATTTGCTGTGGGACAAATGTTTGATCACGTTTTCAATATTATTTTAGATCTCAAATTGTGCAGAACATATGTGCATATAACCACATACACTACAGCCAATGTCTAATGGTCTCCAAAAGCGATGGATCTTTCATTTGAGATAGATGATCAGCGAATAAGGAGGTGTGGACATATTTTATGCCTATGGGCCTGTAAGATCCCTACCTGGGTGAAAATGGAAGATAATGTATATTGCAGTAGGTTCTATTTCTGGTACATGTTTAGCGATTTCTCGTCCGTTTATGTCTAGGTTTCTTATCCAACGGTCCAGTCCTCATATATGCAATGGCTAAGAGGCGTTCGAGGTAATGTGAATAAACAAATTTAAAACAAGTCTTTGTTATTTCTTACAAAGACAAAAAATCTAGATTGTACTTTTCCAACCATAAAGAACGTAGCTCTGTATGCGAGCCTGCCCTGTGACGTATGTTCATGACACAGCACAGACATAATGGGCATTACGTGAAAGGTATCTTTTCTTGTTGGAAACGCGTTTATTAAAGGGTCACTGCAAAGAAAAAAAAGTTTTTTTTTTTAAACAGCCTAATGGGGAAAAGCATGTCAAGAAATAATTTTTCCGCGAGAAAACACATTTTTTACAGCAATATTTATTGCGTGAGACTGATTTTAGTTTGCGGCTATTTCGCCCATTTTAAATTGCGCGCCACGAAGTTGGGATTCCGTGACGTTGAATCCTAATTGGCAGCTATACTTCTCATTGGCCAAGAGTTTGATTGACAGCTTAGATCTTTGTTGTTAAACCTTTGTTATATGTTGCAATTTTCTTTTTAGTGGTATATTTTTACGTTTAAGAAAACAACCCATGTGATGAGAGTTATTATTCTTTACAAAAGGTTTAAAGGACGGGCACTTCCGTTTGGATTCATACCATAACAAGCAAAAACTCCGCTATTCTCTCATGGCCGCCAAGTTTTCGCTACCGCCTGTCTCGCCTACCACGACTAATCGTTTCGCCGAAGTGATCAGTGTTTCGTGCTGACCCAGGTGCTCGAGTGAGACTTCTTGAAGTGAAGTAGTGTGTGTTTAGCAGCTGTCGCAGGTGTTAGTGGTAGGAAGTGATGCGGGGTTTTGGCTTTCATAGCGTGGTTCTTTCGTTTTCCTCTTTGCTTGCTTAGCGTGTTTTGTTTTTGTTGTTGTTGTTGTTTTTTGCGCTTGCGCGTGCAAATGCTGAATTTTCGGAGATGTCAGAGAGTGATCCCGACATCGAGCCTTCCAGCAGCCATGTCGCCCCGAAAGGAATGCTATTTGGCTGGAGGCAATCGAGCGTTCGAGTAGCGACAAACGTGTCCAGTTACGTTCTTGACATATCGATCCGGAGGCCGTCGAGATTCGCACCGGGTGCCCCGGGGGCATCGAACGTCCGCGACCAGACACAGCTGGTACGTAAAAAACCTGGCACAGCCAGGTGATTACGTAATAGCTGTGTGCAGAAGCCCTCGGACGTTCGAATGCTGCGTTAGCCGACAAATTTTTTTCTCGGCTTTCCAATCATCTTACATAAATTGTTTGAATGAATATGTACTGTTATCGTAAATCTTGGCTTCTGATCGCGGCTTTGTAGATTATCGTATTCGTTTTGCTGGAGCGACGCAAACGACCGGCATAACAAAATCGGTTGCATATTCCGCATACCTTCCAAAAGCACTTCCCCAGTCACCTTGCGAAAAGCGCGAAACACGGAGTCCGCACCGTCCCTACTTCCCAGTCTTTTACCTGCTTTAGAGCAGTTTGTACCTGCTAGTAGGTATGTCTACTGAAACTTGAAACTACACTCTAAGAAAAAATGGAGGAAAAAAGTAGCAACACCGCGTCTTCCTCCCTTCTACTGACGCGCCCCCAAGCGGACACGAGAAAAGGGGAGGAACGGAACGTTTTTCTCCTCCAAGCAGACGGGAGAAAGCTTTCGCCCTCCCGACTCATCTTCTTTCGGTTTCGTTTTTCGAGCAGGTCGCGCACGTTGTTTAATAAATAGTTGTTGAGTTGATTGAGCTTCAGCGGCAGCGAAGGCCCCCTGTAATTACGTCTTCTAGTCTAAACTTGCAGAACATTTCGCTTGCATTGACGTGTTTATCACTAATTTTATCAAACGGGAAAACGAAGCCGCTAGAAACAGCGAAGTTCCGCAGCAGTGCCAGCAGCGCCACGTACACTGGGTAGGATGGCCGTCTCCGGATTGCGGGACTCACGTGGCGCGGAACTACAGTAGCGAAACCACGCGGAACTGTGTCGACGTTTTTGACGTTATGGAAACCGCAGGAACTGCGTCCAAGACAGGCAGGTTTTGCTGCCGGCCCCTGGGTGCCTTCCGTGCTGAGTTCGGTTCTGTTTTCCGATGCCGAGTGCAACCGGCGTTCAACGTGGTTCTGTGTTTGCGCGTGTCAGCAACATAGCTGCAACATCGTGATGGCAGTGTTGTGGGTTGTGAACAGAAAACTGGAATTATCGCCGATGTGACCGTGTGTTCGCGTATCAGTGGTGTATCAAGAAGATGAGATCGTAAACTGTCGGGCATTGATGCCGCTGGTCGGGCCGTGATCGGAGGGGGCGGGGTGTCGCAGGTTGACATTCCGCTTTACATTAAAAAGTTTAATACCACTTGAGGGATTACGTGCAATCGATCAACGTGCGGATAGTCATGTTGGAACGCTGGTCTGAACAGTAGAAGCTCCTATCGTACTGTGGCCATTGTGACTGTCAGAATTGTCTCGTCCCCGAGAGTGATTGCACTCTGGGGCAAGGACTGAACAGTACGAAATGATGACGGAAAGTACGTATATTTACAGAATGGAATTTCGGCATTAAAAAACAATAGTAGGTAAAATCGAAAAAAAAAGAGCTACCCTTTATTTTGCTGTTTAAATATACCACGATTCCTGGAGAAACTGCCCTCCAAGTGGCGCGCTGGGATAAGCGCTAGAAGTTTTCGGGCTCGCCACGGCGTAGCTCTTTACATTTAACACCTGCCGCAAGTCGCGGCTTTGACTGCATTCAAGTTGATCGAAAAGCGGTTTCTCAGCCCGTGAAGCATCACTTCCAGCTGAGTGAATATCCGCTCTACAGAGATTAATTCAAAACGGCAATTGCAGGTTTGCGCGAACAGCACGAATGAAAAACAAATAGAAATACAGGCTATGACGTGCCGTGTGGGGAAACAAACTCATGGCTTCGAACCACATTGGAGCGGCTTGATTTATTGGCTTTCAAATAGTCGGGGCATGATCGAGCGTTTACTTTTTAATAAGAGATTTATCTCTGAGCCATTTAAAATACTCTCAGAGGTATGACATTGGTGGGAAGAAATCAACACGCTGGGAATATTTTTTATTGCTTAGGGAGTCACTGAAAAGTTCCGTACGTTCAAAACGACCAGTATAAAAGACGGAAACGCAGAGCGTGGTGTAGTGTTCGGGTTAGTGTGGTGTTCCGTTGTGTTGATATTTGTGTGTGCCGTGTATGTGCTCAATGTGTGTTCACCTGAGGCTTGTAATAAGCGTAATGTATGAAGAGCAGAGGATCCCCAAGCGCAGTAGTGGCCTGAGAAAAGCAAATTATTTTTTGTAGGACATGAATTCGGCGGTACCTAGCGCCACCTAGCCTAGCTACTTGCAATTACTGTGCTTGACCCCACCATCTGGTGGCTAGCGCTTTAACCTTCTTTCACGCTACGCGATAAACAGCGGCTTCGAGTTTGTTCTTTCGAGAGCGGCTTTCGGTTTCGCGGATAGAGTTTGCCCTTCTTCGTGATGTGTGGTTGACGAAGGAATTGTGACTCGAGGAACACCAAAGGTAAGACGCAAAGTGCGCGAACAAAACTGGGTATCGGTTGTCTCCGTTTAACATCGCAGTGCTGTTGACGAGAAGACTGAGTAACTGCTTTAGAAACGCAAGTTTCTGTACTTGTGGGAAGAATCCGGCTTCGGAAATAAACACAGTTTGCGGAAAGCTCGTGTTACGCTTTTATTTGCTGCTGCTCTCATCCCGTAAAAGAGACGTAGCGTCCTCGTCAATCCTTATTGGGCTCGATTTTCTCAATTCGGGGCCGCCATAATGAGATGCAGGCGACGGAGGAACTAGTTGCTTCCCTGCTTCAGGGACGACAGTGTCTCCCTTTCTAAAGGAACATAGGTTACAAGACCATTCCTTCCCCAAGGGAGGACTATCCATACCCTTTTTTCTAAGAGTGTAGGTGCAGTGCCAGAGAGGCAAAAAGACGAAGTTCGGAAAGCTTGCTCGCCCTCCCCAATTTCTGAACTTTCAAGTGATTGTACCGTAATAAATGCACAACGCCTCTTCCCAAAATAACAAAAAAAAAAGAAGACCATTATGTTCGCTACGTAAAAAATGGTCTCAGTTCATGCATCATTGGGCAGGTAGGAAATCTTGCCCAAATTTATTCACACCGAACGATGAGCGCAACACGTCGCTGTGCAAACGCAGTCCAACACGAAGCATAAAAACGGCAGATTTAGGACAACAATTCGAAGTTCATTGTTCAATTAAAGCGACTTATTTTTGTTAAAAACGCCCGCAGCATTTTACTCACGGTATGCGTCGGGAATCTCACACATTTTGAAACGAAACGAAGGGAGATTTACTTTTAAAAACGCACGCCGCGTCCCCCTGGACCCGCTTGACTGGATCAGCTGACGACGACGGGACTGAACCCGTTTAATCTCAACCCCGCCACAGCCAATTTGCGCTCCGTGTTGGGTGTCTACTTGCAAGCACTGCACCACACACACCACGAACGTTTCAGTTCTTTGTCGCATCGCCATGTTGCACCAAACAGAACGAGATCGCCGAAGTCAACGCAGCGCTGTCGTGAACGTTGGCTTGTGGTTGCACACTCGTGGACCCTGTGACTCCCTTCGCTTTCAAAGCACACACGACGATTACAAATGATACTTTGCGTCTTCCGGGAACATCACAGGGGCACTTCTCCGGTCACGTCTTCGCTATGTGCTCGCAAACCCCGCAGCTTGTCGCGTACCGTCATACCAAAACGATACCGGCGCGATGTTTAGCGTGCGTTGTTGCCAGATCTTACCGGAAGTCGAGACGCTGCGTCGTTCAACTCAGCAGCCAAGTCAACAAAAAATAGCAAATCCAAGAGTGAGGGGCGGGGCGTAGTTCTCCTCCGCGGCGCTCGAAAGAGCGGGAGTTTCAAATGTGGAGATGTTCTGACTCTCACTAAATTACGTCCTGTGACGTAAATATTGCTAAAAAAAATTATTTTCTTCGCGGAACATTTCTTTTCTGACATGCTTGTTACAATTAGGCTGTTTAAAAAAAACCTTCTTTTTCTTTGCAGTTACCCTTTAAGGCACGACTCAAAGGTAGCAAAAACAGAAAAAAAAAACTGAACGGAAGAAAAGAAAGCAATTGTGCAGGCCTCTAAAAAGCGTGAAGGTTGCTGCGCGCGAATACGTTTTCAGTGGGGGCATCAACCATATAAGCAGCGTGCCTTTCCTCCTCGCCTCCACGCTATCGTCACCCCCTCTTCATTGTTGTCGGAAGATTGGCGACTGACAACAACAGTGGGGTTTTGACGACAGCCAGCAGAGCGTGTGACTCCGGATCCACGTGATCAGCACCCTTCCAGCCTCTGTCTAAGTACCCAAGTCGTAAATAGCAATTCCCCGCCCCCCCCCCCCCCCCCCCCCCCCGCCAACAACAAAAAAAAAAAAAAACGACCGGAAGCAGACCGGAACAGAAGAAAATCATTAATTTTCAGCAACAGCAAATGCTGTGGCTGCACAAAACGTGTCCTGTTTGGACAGAACTTCAGCATGCTGCGCGCATTGCCGAGAGGTAGGGGAGCGGATTTCAGGGGGAGGAAAGGTATACAAAGGGGAAGGGGAGTGATGCTCACGGCTGAAGAGTATTGCTCCGGATTAATGCGTTCACAGAACATCTCCGGTGTGAGTCCGCTGCCCGCAACCTCCTTGGTGACGTTAAAAAAGTCATAGTTGGATTGTGTTTTCCAGCATTTCTCGCCACGTAGCCTGCGAATAAACAAGAATCGATCATTATATATTTTAAAATGACAATATATCGAAATTTGGGTGTGGGCAATGGCACAGGTACGGATGTTTTATGATAATGCAATTAATCCAAAGGTGCAAGCGTGCTAGACTAGAATGAGCAAAATATTCCCTGGAGAAGAGGAACAACGGAAACAAAGGACTGACACCTATCTCCAAACAAAGCTAGGTGACTGGTACGTGACAGAAAATATCCTCCTGGTCCTGGTATCGAACCAGCCACCTCTCCATTTCCAGTGGAGCGCTCTACCAGCTCAGCTAACCAGGTACGCGCCAGTAGAGCCAACGGGTTTTCTCAGCTGCCACCAGTGGAACACCAACAAGGGTAAACTGCCTTCATATTAAGGTTATTATGATAATGCAAATAATGCAAAGGTGGAAGCGAGCTGGAGAAGAATTATGAAATTGTTTTCTGCGGAAGAAGAACAAGGGGGACAAAGGACAAACAAAAATTTCCAAACAGAACTAGGTGACTGGTGCACGACCGAAAAAATCCGCCTGGTCTTGGTATCGAACCAGGGACCTCTCCATTTCCAGTGGAGCTCTCTACCAACTAAGCTAATCACGAGCTTGGCGTCAGTAGAGCGAACGGCTTTTATCAGCAGCCGCCGGTGGAACACCAACAAACGTAGTGAAATAGCCATTTGTACGAGAAATTTCTTGTGTCCAATTAACGCATATGAATCATACAAGATGTAAAAGAACTAATAAGACCCATATAAGAACCGTTAATAAGAACTATATAAGATATATAACACCTTATGCAGTTCTCATATCGTTCTTATATGGTTCTTATATGTTCTTATATATATTGTGATTCATATGCGTTCATGGACACAGAAATGTCTCATACAAATTAGATTTTTCAATAGGGAAGGGTAAATGGCCTGCATATTAAGGTTATTATGATAATCAAATTAATGCTGGGTGCAAGCGAGCTGGAAAAGAATGATGAAAATAATCTCCGGAGAAGTAGAACAATGGGACAAACGACAAAAACAAATCTCCAAACACAGCTAGGTGAAATTAGCTGTGTTTGGAGATTTGCGTTTGTCCTTTGCCCCCCCCCCCCCCCCCCCCCTTGTTCGTTTTCTCCACGGGATATTTTCATAACGGATGTTTTCCTGATTCATGAAATTAGGTTAATAATACAATATTTAAATTTTCAATGAACGCACACGAAGAAAGAAAGAAAAGTATCATTCCACCAGCATGAAGCAGCCGATATACTAATGCCTCTTTAATTGGAGTTATTATCCAAAATGTGTGCTTACGAAAATTCTAAAGGCACTCTCTCACTGAGGCAACACGACGGCAACAGCAACACAACATGTCCAAATTTCGTGCAACTTGTTGCTCCCCCCCCCCCCCCCCCCCCCCCCCCCCCCCCGTGTTGTCGGACAACCCTGTCACATCGCGGCAACCGTATCACTCTAAAAAAAGGTTTCATTCTTACACCCTTTGTCCCATATCATAGAGCCCAAAACTTAAGTTCGACGTACAGCGCACTGACGTCGATCTGACGGTACTAGCTTTCACGACAGGCTTGATAGCCGTGTGGTACAACTTATTAAAATAGTTAATGCCTGTGTTACGTACTACAAAAGAAGTAATTGGGGTTTTCTTTGACCTACCGCAAAACATCAGTGTTTTCTTTTTGTGGTCTTTGATACGTACTTTAGCTATGTAATAAGTTATATCGCACAGTTACCAAGCCCCTCGTAAAATTTGGAGCCGTCTGTTTGACTATAGTGCGCTGTACGTCGAACTAAATTTTGGGGGTGCATTAGGGGACAAGAGGGTGTAAGGTGACACCCTTTTCTTTTTAGAGTGTAGCACAACATGGACAACAACGAAAATGTTACCTCGCTGTGTCACCTTTCGGCAACAAAAACAGAAGCAACTTGTGTTGGACAACGTGTGCTGCTCTGATGACTGGCTGAGCGAATTTCGGGCCGACAACAAGGCAACACAGATATATCTAATGGCAGAGCTAGTTTCCTATCAACGCCGTTTTCTTATGAGCTTACCCAAATAAAGGCGTAGAAAACGTTATTTAACAATAATTAAGGCTGGCGTGCAGCTAAGATAATTTTATGAATATTTTTACTGCGTAATTACGGCAAGTGCTTGTCGAAATGGTAACAGCTGAGGGTGAGAACGTTCAGATCGGTGTTGAAATTAGAACTACCGAGAGGCCAGCTCGCATTAATGCTAGTGAAATAAAATGGGATGTCTATACTCGCATACTGGTAAAGCATTATTACAATAACGCAAGAAAGAAAAGATTCAAAAATAAAAGCATTAAAACGACCGCTCGACAATTAATTTTGTTTTCTTTTCATTTCATTTTTTATACCCTTAAAGCGCCCATAGGGCTTTACATAAAAGGGGGGGGGGGGGCAGCAAGTACAAAACTATTCAAAGCACAAACAAAAAAGAAATAAAACAAGAGTGCAGGTGCTACAGTTGCTACGCGTTTAAGTAAGTCGTAAGAGAAGCTCTGAAACCAGAGCATTCTTGGATGATTACAAGACTATCAGAAAGAGAGTTCCATTTGTATGTAGCTAACTGTAACGGTGAGAATTTAAAAAGGTTAGTTTGTGGAGCGACCAAATGAAGTTTTTGCGAATTGTCAGTACGCGCGAAAATATGTGCTGCCAGCCCGGCAAAACAGTTCTCTCCTCGATGGGCAGTGGTAATACTGTGGGGGGCCGCTAGGCCCTGCCACGTTATTTAAAGTGAGGACATAGAACGAGACCAGCGAACGACGTGTCTGCCTGTGATGGCGGCTTCAGAGCATTCTCTTGCACGCGCTCTCCGAGGCGCGTGCGCTTGCTGCGCCTCGAGCCATCTTTTTTATTTTGATGAGAAGAATGGGTTTGTGGGTGGCGTTGCAGCCTACAGATATGCCCCCCCTTAGCGAGGAGCGCCAACGAGCGATTAAATAAGACAAAAAGAAAAACGACAACACACAATTAGGGCGCTAGCTGTGGTGATGAGTTTGTCCAGTGGACTTGAGCAGACTTCCTGCGAGACTTCGGACTTTCTTCGCGCGTCTCACATCGAAACAACGGGCGCACCGGTCCATTCCCGACCCCGTCGTCTGGCTCCAGAAAAACTCCGTATCGCTCGCGAAGAATTCGAGCATATGCTCGAGCTTGGAATCATCCGACCCTCGTCAAGCAGCTCGTGCAGCGCGTGCATTCTCTTGCACGCGATCTCCGAGGCGCGTGCGCGTGCTGCGCCTCGAGCCATTTCTTTTATTTTAATGAGAAGAATGGGTTTGTGGGTGGCGTTGCAGCCTACAATACAAAGTATGCAATGATGCTAGTCTTGAGATTTTCCTTATGTCTGCAAGAGTTGGTAGTTCGAGTTTTTCCTTTAGTAAGGTGATGCTTGAGCGCGTGCACTTTTTAAGAATGAAGCATGTGGCTTTATTTTGCTCTGATTCTAGTTTTCGTGTCCAATAAAACTGACGTGGTTTCCATATTAAGGAAGCGTTATCAAGTTGAAATCGAATGAGAGCGGTACATGCTACAATCTTTCCGTCCCAGATGGCGGTGTGAAGATTTCGTCATAGAAAACCGAGGCTTTGATTTGCTTTGACACTTATGTGATTGATGTGGGCTTCCCAAAACATGTTTGATGTGAAATGAACCCTAAGATATTTATATGTATGCACACGTTCAAGAACCCCATTGAAGAGAGTTTACTTAAAATCTGCTGGACTTCGGTTAGTACTAAAATTTAGAAATTTTCTTTTTGAAATATTTATCTTTATTTTCCTTTTTAGACACCATGTACGTTTCAACTGTAATAGACCCTTTCCGGAATTCAGCGCCATCTGTTGTCTCAAATGGCAGTTTAAATTTTACCGTACTAATGGCGGCCATGAACCTGTGGTTTGCAGTATTTTATGATGCACCGTCACTTTCGCAAGTCAACTGTAAACGAGAACGCGTGCTTCAGTGTACGTTTGTTTTTCAATCTCTTTCACTGTCGATGGCGAAAAAGATGCAACCAGTCAGAATGAAGCACCACCCAGATAAATACCTTGATAAAATTCTATACATCAATTGGTATTGAAGCCGAGTTTGTGCTACAGATGAACTGGGCCCGAGTTAGAAATGAACGCTTACGCAGCTCTTGCATCGAATTCCTGCTTCACGCCGCGCTAACGTCTAAAATGTGTAGGCATCGAATCATCTGCTTTGGCGCATCTTCAACTTCTTCATCACTAAACAGAAGGCCGCCATTAGTATGGCACAAATGCCGTTTTTCAGATGATGATAGTGATCAAAGTTGCGAGACTGAATTCCCGAAAGGGTCTATTAAATATTTCTGAAGTTCAATGCAATCGTGAATGCTAGATTGTTTTTTTTTTATAAATCACACAATCATTGGCATTCAAACGGGTAGTGGACTGGATAGTAGCGGACAAGTTGTTTACGTACGAAAGGAAAAGTAGTGGGCCCAGCACGAATCCCTGTGGTACTCCTGATTTCACTTTCCGATGGCATGATGATTCGCGTTCATAGCAGACACTTTGCAAGCGGTCGACGAGGAAGTTTAATATCCACTGAGTGACAGATGGTTCTATTTGCAAACCGCCTAATTTAAGAAGGAATTGTTGATGTGGAACCTTGTCAAATGCTTTTTTAAAGTCCATAAAATTGCATGGGTTTCTCTGTTTTAGAGTGAAGGTTCTGATGAAGGTCTGGGACAAATTCAAAGAGCTGGGTTTCGCAAGAATGATACCGCCGGAAACCGTGCTGGTTTACAAAGAGCAACTTGTTGTCCGACAAATTAACCATAATATTCCAGAAAATTACATGCTCCATCAGCTTACTAGGTACACTTGTCAGAGAGATTGGTCTATAATTCGTCAACTCAATCCTTTGACCGCTCTTAAAATTGGGGTGACTTTTGCTTCTTTCCAATTGGCAGGAATTTTACCAGTACGTAAGGGTTGTTGGAAAAGTAAGCACAGAAGAGTGGAAGCTTCTTATTCGCAGAGCCTAAGCAGTTTCGTTGAATTATTATCAGGGCCTGGAGCTGAACTTGTTGGAAGATTTTCTACTATATTTTCTGAATACCAATCGCACATATAGTTATTGGAGCCATTTTAGTTAGTATACTATCTTCAGGTAAAATAACTGGACAGGGAAAGGTCTCATCGGAAAACATTTAACTAAATAAATTGCAAAATCGTTCACATTCGTCAACACCATCCAACTCGTTTCCCGAAGAATCAATAAAGTGAAAGGGATTGGAAGTTTGCTTGGGGCTAACTGTATTCCAATTTTTTTTTGCGTGACTTTTTATAAGGCCGCGTAGGTCTTCAATACAGAACTCATTTTCGCTTCCTTTATTCCAATTACACACCATTTGGGGGATTTCGTCATACTTTGCAAATGCAATCAAAGAACGCGATAATTTAGGCTGCTTGCTTGGAAACTTGAAAACGCCCACTACCCGACACCTGAATTGATTATAAAAACTCCAGGCCGTTTTGGGGAATGAAGTGATCACATAGCAGACGGCAGGCAAGTAGACAGCGTGGAGAAATATTTATTCCACCTATTGTTATGAAGGCCGATCGTGTCGGTGTCGCAGTTTTTAAACACTGTCAGTTCAGCTCGACACCACGCTACGGAAGACGCTTTAGGGTACAGCAGGTGATAACTCAATTTTACAGTAGAAATAGGAATTGCATGAAAGAAAAAACCGAACAGAGACACCTCATACAGTGTCGTAAATTCCGAACATATATGGCAATTTCATTTTTCCTGAATAGGGCTATCATCTTTATCAGCGAATGAAGAACATATTCATTAAATAAAGGGTGAAAAATACTCCCCGTGTCAAGTTTTCTAATGACAGTCAATAGTTGATGTCGTCCCGTGGAAATTTCCGGCTCTTTGCACGCTCTAGCACATTGAAGTGTCGCATTCCCAGCGACACCTAGCCACACACGAACGAAGTTAAACAATCAAGATGGCGGAGTGTTCCAGGCGTTGGTCCCACCGTCAGCGTGGTGTGATAGGGTGGTCGGACAACAAATCGGCCAACACGGATTCCGGGCGACAGCAACATGTTCCCCTGCTGTTCTCGTTGCCGCGATGTGAGACGGCTACCGGAAACGTGTCTTTCTCGTGTTGCCGAATAGAGTTGTCCGACTTTTGCCTCAGTGGGACCGGGCCTTAAGGGCATCGATTCAATCAACCTTGTAATATTTCTTTCGGTTCAGTTCGTTTAAACTAAACAACCGACGGACGTTATAGGACTCTAAACAGAGAAAAAATTGTCACGTTTATTGGATTCAGCTGCCTTTTGGTAAACGCTTTATTGTTTCTTAAAGTCGATATAATGACAATATTTTTGTTTATATCGAGAATAAAAGCACAACCACAATACTAAGAATTTTCGTACTGAACTTGCAGCCTCGTTGCCTCTCCAATGACAGGTGAGCTGCAAGTTCCTTTCAAATATCGCACACAGCTTAAGGAACATGGTGCGTGTATTATGGTTTACGCTTTTAGCGTCGTCATTCGTTTGGTGGATTCAGCTAGCTTCTAAGTGAACTGCGGGTTGAGTAACTACAATTGGAAGCAACATCCCCGTCAACTAGCAAACGATACATTCAAAATTTGGGTGAAAAAATAGCATAGAAAAAGTCACGGGTGAAAAGGAGAATTAAGGTTCGATGATGCCAGCGTCTAAGAAAGTTCAAGCTAATACTTACTTCAAAACAAATTGCATCTGCACCTCACTACAACTCGAAAACGCGAAAGGCGGTCCATGAGGCACTTTAGGTTTCATAATGTATTTGTTTGGTAACTTGCAGTCCACAGCACCAGGATGATTCGGGATATATTTCAAGGGACCACTTCCATCGTACTCGCTCCCGAGCCTGCGAAAATATCGTTCATGCTAAGAAAACCATCAAATGCTCAACACTACAATCAGGGAGAGATTAAGAAACGCAAAGCAAGGCTCATTAAGATTACGGTTCTTATCGGCCCATATCGCATTGTCCGTAGCGATGATAAAAGGCGTGGGATTTACTAAAGGTGACTAAAAAAGGTTTTCCCGGGTGATACGCTGAGATTTTTGTAAAAAATAGCGCAAAAGAGACGGGACAAAAAGACGAAGAAGCACACAGGACAAACGCTAACTGGCAACTAAACTTTATTGAAAGCTTCCAACTTTGCTATCGCCATGCACGTGCTTAGTCTCGTTCAACAGAGACAGGGCGTACCGCCAAATCCGCACAATCATACCGCCCACCGCCCGTTCCAAAAAGTCAGCAAAACAGCTACATCACCCCGCCGCACAATCCGGATTGTGCGGCGGGGTGATGTAGCTGTTTTGCTGACTTTTTGGAACGGGCGGTGGGCGGTATGATTGTGCGGATTTGGCGGTACGCCCTGTCTCTGTTGAACGAGACTAAGCACGTGCATGGCGATAGCAAAGTTGGAAGCTTTCAATAAAGTTTAGTTGCCAGTTAGCGTTTGTCCTGTGTGCTTCTTCGTCTTTTTGTCCCGTCTTTTTTGCGCTATTTTTAATATGAATGTCCACTACCAACTTGCCCAGCAGACCAAGCTTTTACGATACGCTGAGCACATGGGTTTATAAATGAAGCGACAACATACTTACAAATGCCCAATTTCGTGGGCAATTGTGGTGAAACTATAGTATACAGGAGGTTCATGCTCGGAAATTCCCACATTCCAGCCTTTCACGCAGACCATTCCGGCAATGGCGATACCTGGAAATAATATTCCATCTGTTTTTTACCAAATACATTCAGTAACGTTTTTTTCAAGTTGTGAGAATACGCAGTGATTTGAAAGTCCCCTCTTTGGAAAAGCAGCTATTTAGAATTATGAGACGTTCAGCCACTTAAAACTAAAAATCAGCCGAGCCGTGAGCGCTTGTGCAAAATTCTCGAATGCCAAGGAGAGAGGCCGTATCTAGAAGTTGGGCGCTGTGTTTACAGGGAAAATTTGTTTTCAGAAAGATACAGGCAAAACAAACACGCAAACAAATGTCTACAGTTACTTCCTTCAGCACAAGGCTAAATTACGAATAACTATCCGCTCAGTCTTTGGCCAAATGTAGTGCTCGGTGCTCGAACCTGATGCCCAAGTTTCAGAACTTGCTGACTTAAAGGTTATGAACAGTTTTAGGAAATTCACAATAAGGCGAGGGCAGTCGAGGAAGTCCAGCAACGCATGCAAATGAGCGACGTCGGCTACCGAAAACGGGACTCATTTTGCCAGTGTGAAACTAAAAAAAAAAAATGCTTCAAACTTTTGTATCAGCAAACAGTCAGTTTTAAAACTTTGGCATCAGGTTGCACCGTCAGAGCTCCGTTTGGAGGACACTAAGCGTTGGGCAACGCGTAGGCTGTGTTGTCATGAAAAACACTATTTTTTGCGGATGCACGTACACTTCCGGCCTTACAGTTTGATGTAGAATAAAAATGTACAGTCAAAATTTGTTGTTGATTTTCGCGTTTGAAGTTGTAAAATACTTGCCACGAATAAAAGTGAAATTTTCAAGAGATATTCGTTGAATATGATTTTTATGACCATCATCTGACGACCAATCCTTCTCGTCACATTTCATTTTATTTGTGAACTAAGTGGCCAAAACGTGCTTTAAAAACATTTTAACTTGACTTTCTCCAACTGCTTCAAAGCCAGCAATGTTAATTTTAATCAGTAAAGGCCATCTTCTGTGAGAACGGCTACCAACTTACAAGTCCCATTCAGTAATTCGTGTTACCAACTAGCAGAAACGGCGCATATCAATCGTTATTCTTTAGGCAACTCTCGGAAATAACTGGTAAAACTCTGGCTTTCTCAGGATTCAACATAAATGTGTGGTCCGGATCATCTCCTGACCCCGTTTTCTTACCGTTAACATCAGAAGATAATTTGTTAGTGTTCTTGTTACGTCTCCCTAAGCTGCGCCTGAAATGCAATTATAAAAATACTAATTATGCGCATCCCTGCTGCTATGAACATTAATCACGTGAAACGGTGTATGTACAAATAGTTTGCGCTTTTTAGGCTTTACATGTCCTTTTTTTAGAAAAGCTGTGAAAGCTACACTTATGCAGTCTCGGCAGGCGAGTTACTCGGCGATCCGGAGGTAACAGGGGAGCTGTCATGATAAATAAGATTATGAACTAAAACTTGTGAAGGAACGTTCTAGTATATAAGAAAAAAAAAACATATCATTCTAATTAGAACGTAAGTGAGCGTCATCAAAAAGCACTAAATTAGTAGATTTTAGAAAATTTTGGAACATTTGGGAAGGGTTATGGCGCGCTGACGTTACCACCCATGAAATCGGTGGAAGGTTGTCGATGCAAAAACTCAGATGAGAACATAATCGCCTGCGTTTACCTATCACCAGCCCTGCCAATCTAAAAAAACTCGTTTTTGAATGTAATAGTTACCGGCGGCCCTTACCACGCCTTTCATTAGACCATACCTCTGCAAGAGAAATATTGTTTCCAGGAAATTGTTTCTTGATGTCTGCTGACAGGAAATTTTAAAACCTAAAGCTGCGACGCTTGCGACAGATTAACACTGACAGTTTGAGACAACTAGGATTGGTGTACAAAAATGACTTTGATGTCGTCGGCCATATTACAAAATAGCTCGTAGCATGCAGAGTGTATCAGCCGAAATTATGCACCTCTACTCTTCGTTTTGAGGGGCAACAAAACTTTTTTACACATTTCTTGTCGCCTTGCCGTAACGTCAATTTAACGGGCACATAAAAAAGATGCCATGTAACAATTTTGGATTGAAATGCTCTTTGCACAAGCTTGCTGGCACGAGTCGCACCGAAGTACGAAGGTAGGAAAAGTGGCGATGCAGGCGAGTTTGTTCATCACTAGGTAATGTAATTACAGCGCAAGAAAGACGAAGACAAAGAGGAGACAGATATCAGCGCATATGTGTCCTCTCTTGAACACATATCGGTTAGACACATATAAGCACATATGTGTGTAACTAGATACCGCCTCCTAATAACCGAACAATGCCGAAATAAAAATAAAGATGTCTTTTTTTTAAGATAACAAAAAAAAGTATTATTCCTTTGAACCCGTAATGTAGATGTTGTTTGCGTAATGTGAGTGGAACACTTATCTGCCACTAGTACGAATGATACTGATGACCTAAGAAAAACATATCAAAGCTTTGCAGGTCACGGTTTGAAGGTTAAAACAACTCCTCCCCGGGTGTTTTTCACCTAGCAAAAAACTGTCTGCTATCAAAAATTTACTACGCCCAATTTTAGAATATGGGAATGCTGTTTATGATCGAGTCGGCTTTTTGTTTTGTCGGTTTTTTGTTAAGGTTCGTTGTTCTAGCGCTCGTCATTGGTTATTTTAGCCATTCGTCTGTGCGCTGTCTTTACCTTCTCTTGTGCAAGGATAGGGTGAAAACTTTTCCGAATCTAACTATTTCAAATGAATTGAATGCAAATATCAAATCGATTTATTCAATAGTCTAGTTTTGACAAGCGTTTAAGTGAGACAACCTTCTGCATTTTTAAACAAAATAAAATCAAAGGCCCAGTGGTTACAATATATATATATATGCATATATATATATATATAAACCAACATATGCAGATGAGTGGACCGTACTTAATCCAATGAATCAAAGAATCAAAGTTTTCAGGAACCCGCCGAAAGTTAAAAAAACGGTGGAGCTTCGATTTTTCTGGCTTTCGTTTTTTGGCTTTCGGCGGGTTCTTGAAAACTTTGACTCTTTGATTAATCTGATTAAGTACGGTTCATTCATCTGCAAATGTTCATTTATATCCTCCTCGGAGACCAGGTACGATGGTGTGAAGTGCCCGTGTTGTATATAAATATAAGAAAAAAAAACAAGAATAAATTCAGCTTTGGTGCCCTTGAGCAGTGAAACGGTCAGCACACCAGACACTGTAGACGAAACGTTTTGCATGTCGCCGAATAAAAGTGCGTAAAATAGAGGAAGCCGTTGGCATCTCTGGTCGCACAGTAGATAACATTTTGCGCAATGAATTAAATTCAAAACAGAAAGCTTTCCACAAGAGGGGTGTCGCATTTTTTTAATGCGTAGCAAATGATCTGCATCGCTATTGGCTCCGACTAGAAAAAAAAACAAAAACATAACAGAATGGAGTTTTAATTCCCCTCACACTTTATATTTTTCCAAAAAATCAATATGTCTTGGCTAGAAAGAGATTTCGGTCCAATGAAAAGGTAACAAAGGAATTCAGTTGCTTATTTGAGCGCCTCGAACAAATTCTGTTCCAAGAGTGAATAGAAAGGCTGGAAAGACCTTGAGTCAAGTGCGTTCATCTTCGAGGGGATTCTGTTTTAGATACCATTACTGAAATGGTTTTGTTTTCATTTCATGCTCATTTGGGAAACGTTTCCATATATCCTACTGTACTCCCAGAAAACACTACTAGCACAGGAGCTTCCCTGTAATGGTAAAATGTTATTCTGATTCGTAAAAATTAACGACGTTGTTACGGGGATCACACCATATGGGGTAAAGTGTCGAAGGCAGCTCGAGTATTCGACACGAGCACAGCGTAATCACTCGAGTTGGGCTCGTGAGAATGAACAGCTAGACTAACATTTGAGAAGTAGTGTTCGACTAATCACTGCGGTGAAGTAAATAGCCCAACTCTACACGGTGATTGAAGGAGAGGCCAGGCTCTTTAAATCGACCGGAAAATTTGGTTTCTTAACCTATCGCGCTACGACTTTGTGCTGCGTTGCCAACAGATAGAGCTTTTGTTTTTTTAAATCTGCAAAGAGCGAATTTACCTGAGGAAAAAGTGAAGGAAGAAAAAGGCTTAGCTCCTATGGTAACGCAGCGACGCCACCGGTTCTCAAACAACACGGCGCCGTTTCACGCGGGAGACAAGAGATGGCGCAACGAACGCCGCCAAGTCGAAATGATCTTTTCGACTTAAAAACGGCGCGCGTTCCGCAGGCGGCGACAGTCGCAGAAACAAAAGAACAGGCGCGGTAACAACAAGGAACTACAGTTCCTTGTTTGCTAAAGACGTCGTATGGTCATTCGTTGGCGGCAGTTGGCGTCGTGACCGCTTGCGCCATCTATTGTCTCCCGAGCGAAACGGCGGCGTCTTGTTTCAAGACCTGTGGCTTCGCTGCGTTTCCATAGGAGCTAAGCCTTTTAGAGCGCAGCTCTTAGGCGCCCGTTTCCGGCTTGAGCGGCGTCGCCGTCGCCGTCGGCGTAACCGCGCGGTGCATTATGGGTAAATTTTCCCGCAAAATATAACGGGAAAATTTCCCGGCTAAATCTAGCGGAAAAATTTCCCCGCTAAATCTAGCGGTAAAGTTTCCCCGCTAAATTTAGCGGAAAAATTTCCCCGCTAAATCTAGCGGGAAAATTTGCCCGCTAAATATAGCGGAAATATTTTCCCACTAAATCCAGCGGAAAAATTTTCCCGTTAAATTTAGCGGAAAAATTCCCGTCTAAATCTAGCGGAAAAATTTGCCCGCCAAATCTACCGGAAAAATTTCCCCGCTCTATCTAACGGAAACATCTGCCCGCCAAATCTACCGGAAAAATTTCCCTACTAAATTTAGCGGAAAAATTTCCCCGCTAAAATTTCGCGGAAGAATTTGCCCGCTAAATCTAGTGGAAAATTTTCCCCGCTAAATTTAGCGGAAAAATTTTCCCGCTAGAGCGGAAAACTTTGCCCGCTAAATCTAGCGGAAAAATTTCCCCGCGAAACTTAGCGGAAAAATTTCCACACTAAATCTAGCGAAACAATTTCCCCGCTGAGTCTAACGGAAAAATTTCCCCGCTAAACCTAGTGGAAAATTTTCTCTGGGGTTCACGTGACCTCAGGGGGGGTCGCGTGACCTTGGAGGCCTTCCCTCCTCCTCAGAAGCTGCGCTCTAATTCGGCGTTACAGGGAGTTGTAAACGACATTTTATTTCTTTACTTTTCGCTCAGGTAAGTTCGCTTTTTGCAAATTTTTAAAAAAGAAATGCACCATCTGTGGGCAACGCTGCACAAAATCGTAGCTCGATAGGTTAAGAGACCGAATTTTGCGGTCCATTTAAAGAGCCTGCCCTCTCCTTGAATCACCCCGTAGTAATACCCCTCCGGCCTTGGCCAAGGTTTTGCCACTAGCCTGCCTAGAATCCGTAATAGAAGATCATGTGGCCACTTGGTCCGGCAACGAGTTGAAGGAGCTAACTGTGCTCGTTTCTGTAAAAAAGAAAAAAAATTCTACGACTGCCTTTGAGTTGAAATAAAAGCCAATCCGTGTTTTGAGGGTAATGGAAGTCAAAAATTTGATCTAAGCAGTGCGTAATTTATTTTAAGCCCGAAAATTGTCGCACGACCGCCTTAATCTATTACTTATCCTGCGGGAGCATTGAATCGCCCTAAAGAGGCACTGACACCCCATCGCGAAAAAAAAAAAATTCCCGGGCGCGGGCGCGCCTTTTTATTTTTGGCGTTTAATTCTCCCGCCTCTCGCCTCCTCGCTTCTTTTGATTCGTGACGTCAAGAATCAGAAAATTTAGGAGCTTTGTAGGCGACATCTTTATAACATTTAATAACGGCAATTCTAAAACATATTTTTTAACGCAATTGCGACCGCACTACGGCCCTTCTTTTTGAAATACCAAAAATCGGGAGTTCGTTGTGGTGCCGTCTCCTGGATTTGTATCCTCCAACGGAAAACAGGCGACACCGCTCAAAACCCGTCCGCCGCAACGCCGGCGCTCGCTCCTTTCCTCCTCGCTTTAGGTCGCCATGGCAACAGCAGGGAGTGGTGAAAGAAAGTGGACTCTCAGGACTCCGCAATATCTGACGTCAAGGCACCGGCGCCGATCGCGCGGGAACTTCGAATTCGGCATTTGGAAATTGTTTTTTTACTTCACAAATACTGAATTCCCAAATTTCAAATTTTGAGGGTAATATCCCGGCATCGTTTTCAACCGTTTCGGATAATAAAAAAATTATGATTTTAATGTGTCAGTGGCCCTCTAAGGAACTAGGATATGTTATTACTGCCTCACGGCACAACTCAACCTCAAGCTGAATTACGTGACCTTTCTTACCCAACGAGCATAAGGTAGAAATCGGCAGTCCTTGGGAACGTGGTGTTTTTGGTGAATCGTCCAAAGGCTTTCAGTGACTCACCCGATAAGACTATATTGTCTTCCTCCACAATGAAATACTCATCTTCTTTCGTCTGTAAACATTAATAATTAAACGAAAATATTTATATTTTATTACTTTTTCAATCACAAACTAGACCGCCGTTGAAAGGGGTGCTTGGCTATCATCGAAAAGTAGTACTTTCTAGATGCAATGATGTTTCTAGGTCTAATTGTTTATAAAATTGTGCAATGCTTGGCATTGAGTCTACTAAGTAAAGTAAGCTAAATGAAACACACGGACCTTTGCGAAAACGAATTAGAAAGGAGCTAGTTTTGTTTTCACAGCGCCATCTATCATGACAAAAATAAAAATTGTACAAAACTGAAATAGAAAACGAATGGTTACTTCGAAATAAAACCGACGGCTTTGACTGCGCGAACAGAAGCGATTTCGTGACTTTGATTTAGACAGATAAATCCCCAATTGCCCTTGAGTGGCACTATCACTTTGAGACATATGTATTCGTTTTCTTATTCATTTACACGGTGTTATGTAATCGCGACATTAAAATACTGCTAGGTCGTGCGGAAATAAGTGGTTTCTTTGTTAGCCTCACCGAACCATAGGACAAACTGATGACGCTGAGAGAGAAAAGATTCAATCCAGGAGAGAACATTATTATCGAGGTTTAATGACGATAGTTTTAGAAGCAGCCTGTTATGCGGAACTTTGTCAGAAGCTTTAGCGAAGTCGAGAAATACAGCATCAGTGGGGTAGCAAGAACCAATGTTTGCGAACACGTCGTTCGTTAAGCAGATAAGTTGGGTTTCGCAGGAGTAGTTTCGACGGAAGCCGTGCTGCGCTTTGTTAAAGAGCGCGATAGAATCAAGGTGAATAGATAGTTGCTTGTGGATTACGTGCTCCAGTATTTTAGAAGGTACAGAAGTTAGAGATATTGGCCTATAGTTTAAAGGAAAGGAGGGTTCTTCGTAACAAAAACCGACGCACCTTTCTTAACTTGTTCGGGTCCCCAACATACTATCAGATATATGTGTACAGGCACGCACTAGCACCCCCGCCCCTCCCCTCCCTCCTTTCAGGCTTGTTCGAAACCATTTTCTGCATTCGATTAGAGGGATACCATCTGTTTGCGACAAACGTATCTTGGCTTTATTTCTCACACATTACACACTGGTACAACGAATCGACTCAACTTTTTCACACACTTATTTCTACGGCTAAAGCTCTCAGCAATGCCTATACTTCAAAAGAAGCCTGAGCATAGAAGCCTGAGCTTAACAATAAGAAAAAAACCACGTTTTCGAGTAGCCAAAAAACAAGACACTGCTTTATCCTGGTCTAAATATCATGAATGCGCCACTGAATATAAAATTATGTTAGAGCAGCAGAAGCGCATATTCTACCAGGAGACCCTTCCATTTATGCTACTAAACAACCTTCGCCAATTTTGGAATGTTGTAAATCATGCACCATACTCCCCACTAGCGCTTATTGATGATTCTGAGAAAATTGTCGAGATTAATCAGTGTGCCACAGTTCTTAATCATATATTTTCTTCTCATTTCGCCGCCCACTGTCCCTTAACACTGTCCTTACCTATTACTAGCAATGTTTTACCTATGGACCAATTTGTATTGATTACGAAGGTATTGTTAGTATTATTAAGTCACTGAAAATGCCCTCTTCCTGTGGTGTCGACGGCTTAAATTCTAAGGTTTTACAAAGCATTAAATATTCCTCAAGTCTATTTCTAACAAAAAAATTTCAATAATCATTAGATACGGCGGCGGTTCCTGATGACTGGAGAATCGGCAAGGTCATCCCGGTCCACAAAAGCGGCGATAAATATTCTCCTTTAAACTATAGGCCAATATCTCTAACTTCTGTACCTTCTAAAATACTGGAGCACGTAATCCACAAGCAACTGTCTATTCACCTTGATTCTATCGCGTTCTTTAACAAAGCGCAGCACGGCTTCCGTCGAAACTACTCCTGCGAAACCCAACTTCTCTGCTTAACAAACGACGTGTTCGCAAACATTGGTTCTTGCTACCCCACTGATGCTGTATTTCTCGACTTCGCTAAAGCTTCTGACAAAGTTCCGCATAACAGACTGCTTCTAAAACTATCGTCATTAAACCTCGATAATAATGTTCTCTCCTGGATTGAATCTTTTCTCTCTCAGCGTCATCAGTTTGTTCATGTTAATAATTGTTCTTCTACCTTAGCCCCCGTAACATCTGGCGTGCCTCAGGGAACGGTGCTTGGTCCGTTACTTTTCCTCATCTACATCAACGATCTTCCTCTTCAGGTATCTTCAACCATGTACCTATTTGCCGACTGTGTCCTTTGCCAAAAAATAACATCCCCTCATCACTCTTTAACCCTACAAAATGACCTCGACCTAGTTCAGAGCTGGTGTACTAACTGGCAGATGAGGCTTAACGTCAGCAAATGTAAATTCATGCGCTTTTCTCGTTCCTCTTTTCAAACCTCCCCTGTTCATTTTCTCAATGGCATCCCTCTTCGACCCACGGATATGTATAAATACCTCGGCGTTCTTCTAACTTGAAACCTCTCCTGGAAAAACCGTATTAATTCAGTTGTGAGTTCCGCTAACAAAAGCTTGGGTTTCCTTCGTCGCAATTTCAGATCCGCCCCTACTAAACTAAAACGGCTCCTCTATCTTGCCCTAGTCCGGTCTAAATTAGAATACGCAACTCCAATCTGGCACCCTCATCAAGCTACATTAACAGACTACATTGACTCTGTCCAAAACCGTGCTACGCGTTTTATTTAGTCTGATTACTTCAGTTTTTCTAGTGTTTCCCTCATTAAATCAAGACTCCCTCTCCCATTGCTTTTCACCCGTCGAAAAATATCCCGTCTCTGCCTTCTGCATAAAGTTTTTTATTCACCACTTTTAAATCAGTCTTTTCTTTCTCCACCAGCTTATCTTGCCTCCAGACTCGATCATTGCAATAAAATAGCCCGGCCAAAGTGTTTTTCAACAGCACATCAGCACGCCCCTCTTCCTGATGCAATTGTGGACTGGAATGACCTTCCCGAAGACATCGTCACCATTCGGGATCCCATCAGATTCCGAGAAGCACTATCAACCAATCTACTTAACACCCACTCCCCTCTCTAACGCCTTATGACCCTGAGGGTATTGTAAATAAATAAATAAATAGTTCAAAAATTAAAAAAGCGAAATTACGCCACTGTGAAAACGTACTTCAATCTCCGTCAGTTTTCTGACTTTATCAGCCCACTTGCGGCCTCGCGCACGTACGGCTCCCCGGTTTCCAACCTGAAGCAAGATTACTCTTGCTTGAGCCCCGTCTCTCTCGATTGAATCAATGAACGCGAAAGGGTTCGGGTTTGATCTTCCCGACGTGGCTTTAATTTTTCGATGCCATGCCTCCATATGGGTTTGGTTCTGGATCCCCTGTTTCCTTGATGGTTCCACCGCTCCACTTGAAAAATGCCCTCATCCAAGTCGCGTCAAAGTAATTAAGTAATCATATACGCTCCGGAATACCAAGCAATATACGACCCGACGCAGAAACGCCCAGGGGCGAGGGATGTCAGAAGGCGAAACAAAGGAAAGTGCCACGAGCTTACGAATGAACGCACTTAACTGGCTGTTTCTTGAATATACGCTTTGGAGCCAATGCCGCTTTGGAGCCAAGCCCACACTTTTTGCGCGAAAATGAAAGTGCCACCCGCGATGAGCAGCTTGGGGACACACGACGCGCAAACCACCAAAAAGCGCCTGCTCAAAATCCGTCATGAAACTTTCAGGGGTCGAGGAAGGAATCCAAGCAGATGTGAATGTAATTATGGCCCTTCAAACGCAAGGCCATAAATTTGTAGCTTGCCGACCCGACAACAAAAAGCAAACGGCTGCGCTAGGCACTCCGTCAGTTACAACATGCAGAGTTACAAGTTGAACGCACAGGTAAGGTACAACAACAAAAAAAAAAATCCCGTCCGCAAAAAAATAATTTTAACTGACGACAGCCGTTCCATGCCACCTCGTGTTACGAAGGCAACTCTTCAACACGAAGGTCTCAGCCGTCGTCGATGATGAAGAAGGGCTCCGCTTTTTTATTCTTTTTGTGGGCGTCGTTGTCTTGCGGAGCGTCGGCTGATGAAGGAACCGGTGGCTGCGCTGAGCGCCTTTCTCGATACATCGAATCCCTCAGGCTGGCAAACGTGGGTACATCTGCTGCGTCTTCATCTGGCACCTAGAATAAATTTAGTGATTTAGTTTAGCAAACTTTGCATGATACTTCGTGGGCGTGATAGATATAACATTTTGGAAAGAAACTGCAGAGCAGGTTTGGAGAAGTTCCTCGTTAAAGAACCTTGGCATGGGCGTATTCGGGTTGGGTGCTGCTAACGTTTTCAGCGCCAAGCGCAGCTGGTTCCTCACAAGCCTCGGCTCGTCTGCTGCATGGTTATGGTCGCCTATAAGTAAAAGGAGTAAAAGGAGCGTAAATGTGCAATAGCATGTTAACGTCCCTTAAGCATGTGCCTGGTGGCGCTAGTAAGAGTAAGTAAAAAACGAAACAAATAGCAGTGGTGTATATCATGCATAAACAGACCGTCAAAGACAAATCGAATATAGCAACTTACGGGATCTGCTTTTCACGGTGTCCTCTTCAGTCAAAATCGAAGCCGCGCATTCTGATGAATTGTAACGGCAACGAGACGAAACCATTCCGTTTGCTTTCTGCCGCCGTTTGTGACGTATGTAACCTTCAAAGTAAGGGCACCTTTCTTCTCTGCGTTTCCTCTATACAAACCCGGACATTGCCCCTGACTGATGTCTCACTGTTGATTGGGTCGTGTTGTATTTCGGAGTGCAGAGTTATTGTTTTGGGTGTCAGGGGGACATACAGTTCCGTGTTTTGATACATAGACGGTTCAGCGTTTTATGACTCAGCGCCAGTGTTGGGGTAACGCGTTACAAATAACGACGTTACCGTTAACGCGTTACTTATTTTAGGTAACGCGTAACATACTCGTTACTTTTTTCAAAACAGTAACGGGTGATGTACTTACGTTACGCAGTTCAAATAACGGGTGACGGATTTACGTTACTGGTTACTTTTACCTCCTTAAACTTAAAACCAAATAACACAATTTTTTATTCGTGCTTCTAGGCGCCAAGCTAGGTGATATTTTTTGCGTTTTTCTTTGCGTTTCTTTGTGAGTAATCGGGTGAATCCATAAAAAAAATAAAGTAATTATGTTCAGTGTCTGCATAGAAATAATATTTATAGAAATATGGCGATTAAGCATACCTGTAACGTGAAAGCATCAAAATATGCCAATTCATAACTAAAAAAGTAACGCCAAGATAACCTGCGTTACTTTATATCGGTAACTGTCACATGTTCCTTTTATTTGTGAGTAATTGAATTTAATTGGTTTTATGTAGACACTAGACCTAACGTAACAGGACAAAAGGCAGATTAGCTCTGCCTGACCTGGGCCTATCACCCGTTTACAATGCTCAGCACTCGAAAACCAAAACAATAATCATTAAAGATTAGAAGAACGTACAATAGCACGTCAGCAACAATCAACACACCATGTTTTGTACAGAGCTTATAGAATCGTTAGTGCACTTAATACTTTGGAAATAAACGAGACTGGTAAAACGACTCATACACAATGAAAATATATTCGAAAAGTATTTACTCAACTTAACATGACAGAGAAGGTACCGCTGTGTACTAATTTTAAAGCTTTGGTTTGTTCCACAATCTGAGATTATTTACCTAAAGGCTGGATGTTCTCGTCCGGGATCCTATCAGGATTCCGGACGAGAAGAACAAATATACTGAAAGCCCTCATTGACTTTTTAGAAGCGGCAAACCTATCATCCAGACTGTAAACTAGCATACAACATGCCTTCATCCTATGGTCGCCGATGGGTCGAAGCGGCGGGTGCTTCGTTCCGTCGCCCTAATCGTGCCGGGGCGCTCGTGCCCCGGCGCTTCGGCTTCTTGAAGTCAACGCCCAGCAGGGAGCGCGTGCTCCGGCATCGTTTGGGGCGGCGGTGAGATGCGACCTGTCCTTCCATCGCATCAGCGGCTATGCCCTTCATTTCTGTAAATACGCCCATCCCCATTGTCCCCTCCTACCCTATCCTCTTTTTCTCCCGAACCCCGCAAGACGACGAACCAGACCCCTCCATGGGTGACTAACAATGCGTCTTGCATCCCTCTTTCTATTTTATTCATTCTTTAAATTTATAATAAAAGCAATATTTACACACAAGTCTATAATTTGTCCTAGACCAAGGTACTCTATTGGAGCTGTGTCGAAGATTGTATTGTGCATTACTAGGAAGAAGTGCGTCAAAGAAACGGGTGGGGTCACTAATTATTTGGAGTGGTAAGAAAACTTCGTTTAAGAAATGAAAGCCGCTTACAATCCTCTGTAAAACCGAATTAGAACGCAGCTCTCGAGGAGGAGGAGGGAAGGGTACTGAAGACAGCGTATAATCCTCCCTCCACTTCACCTCCTCATGCTGCCCGCCCCTCCTCACAGTTACGCCCAAGGCGACGGCGTCGCCGACGCCATCGGCGTAGTCATGAGGTCGCGTGACCATCGTGACCTCACGGGGGTCATGTTACTTAGTGAGGATTACGTGACCTCACGGGGTCACCTGACCCCACGGGGGTCCCGTGACCTCACGAATGTCACGAATGTCACGGGGCCTCACGGGGGTCACGTGACCTTACGGTTACGCCGACGGTGACGGTGAGGGCGACGCTGGTCAAGGCAGAAACGGGCGCCTAAGATCTGCGCTCCAAAAGAACGGTGCTGTGTGGTCAGTATGCTGAAGGTTTTCTGTACAACGTATTCCTTTTTTTTAATAAACAACCTATTAATATTTTTGTTGTTGTTGAACCCCAAACTAATAAAGAGTAATGAATATGAAAGTACACTAAAGTATTGTACAACTGACGTTTTAATCAGCATGGAATCAGCAATTTAATTGTGTATAAAATACTAATAGATCTCAAGATGCTTGCATGCATTTTATTTTTATGAAGTGTCCAGCTTAAATTTCTCCTAACAATTTATAAACGTTTACACAATCGATCACAGAGTCTTGGTGATTTTTAAAAAAATTCACAATCGTCAGGTTTACCTCACTGCTTAAAAATTGCATCTTTTGTTTTCGTAACATTTAACTAAAGTTGATTAGAGTCAAGTCAGTCCGATAACTCGTTGAGCCACGTGGTAGCAGTAACTTCTAGATGAAGTAAAAATGGTCCAGAAAAAAATAAGCTTGTATCGTCGGCATACAAAACTATTTCAGGAGTTTATAAGGTAGTTACAATATCATTATTATAAATAATCAAAAAAGAGGACCTAAAATAGACCCCTTCGGAACCCCATGCGAAATTTGTTCTAGCTTGGAGCGGTATCCATTAAAGCACGTATATTGTGACCGGCAAGATAAGTAACTACGTAACAAATCTAAAGCAACGCCTTCGAATTTCATAAAGCGGTAGTTTATAAAACAATATATCAAGTTTAATGATATCAAACTCTTTTCTAAAGTCTAAAAATATTCCAGTGATAAATAGTTTATTTTCAAAATGTTGATTAATTCTTCTTTGATATTAAGTAGCACCATTTCTGTTGACTTTTGTCTTGTTGAAAACCGTATTGCAGCATTACAAAGACATCTCTATCATTCAAAAACTTGTAGAAGCGTTTCATTATCAGATATTCTAATACTTTTGAAAACAAAGGAAGTACAGATATGGGCCTATAGTTATTAATGTTTTCAAAAGAACCTGGGCTTTGTGCAAAACCGCAACTCTTATAATTTTCATGCCATAGAGAAAAGTGTTAGTTGCTAATGCAATGTTACCTATACGCTGTAGAGAATAACACAAAAGATGGGCGACAGCTATGATTAGTATGGCCTTGATATTATCTGCTGTAATGAGTTACGTATTTTTGTTACCTTTTTCGGTAAAGCCTACAATACTGCTGCAGCGCCCGCGACCCATCTCAGAAAACAGAACAACTGAATTCCGAGTCCCGACTTTTGCACGACCTATGCTATCTCCCCGCTGAATTTAGCATGGAAGTTACGTCGCATGACTTTATGTCACGTGACCCATAGAAAAATATTGTTTCTCCACTAAATATAGCGGTAAAATTGATGTCATGTGACTTGGTCACGTGACCTAAACTAAATTTTAGTTTGCCCACTAGATTTAGCAGGAAAATTGACGCCACGTGGCCTCAACACCAATTCAGTTTCTCCGCTAAATCTAGAAGAAGAAATGACGTCCGGTGACTTTATGACTGGTGACCTACACATGAATTTAGGAAAAAAGTCGTCTGTGTTGGAAGGGTAAATAACTTGCGGATATTTTACCTAATTTACTGCCATGTCCGTTGTCATTTTATACAAATTTCTAAACGTGTGGTAGTTTCTATAATGACTAATAATATTTTCATTATTTACCTATTATATATATCACTACACTGAACATATCTTTGCATCCGGTACAATTGTGTAAACCTGCTCTGCAGCACTATCATATCAAAAACACAACATTGTATCAAGCTGACCAATAAAAAATTCTTCCAACCCAGAAAACCTGAGCGTTAACAGTATTGTGGGGAATAAACGTTAGGACGATTTAAATTGTGATGTCTATCATGATTTCAATAGTGCTTTAAATCATGCCTCTTTGACTACAATAATTTGAATAAAACACTTCCACAAAAAAAATCCCAAAATAGTTTCATAATTCACCATTTTTCTATCATGCGATGCATTGTATATTCATTGTTTCCTTTTTAAATCAAGGAATCGCTAAACGAAACAAAAAAAAAAATCTCATAACACACTGAAATCAAGCATAAAGCAGTCGTCTGAGCAAATCTCAAACACAATATTAAGCTGTTTTTGTTCTACAAAGTCAAAGTTTACAACAAAAAAATCACATAAACCGTCCTTTAAATTTACAGTAATTATTTCTTCCGCATTATTTTCATTGGATTTACAGGACAGATTTATTAGTCAATCTGTCATGTTAAAAATACATACTGTGATCAAATTCACTATTTTATAGTTATACTAATGTAAACCAAATTAATCTGGTATAACGCAAATGAATCTGATTTAAATCATAGGCATCTAATAATTTATAGTTAAACAAATAGTTATTGTTTTACGCTCACTTGAGTGCCCTTGCCAAAGTGCAATCTGATCCAAACGGTTTCAAATGAAAAAGTCCACTTTATATTAGAAAAACTTTGTTTTCTTCTAAAAAGTTTGAGTTTACAATTGTGTTGCATTCTTGACGACAATAACAAGACTTTCAAATTTAAAGATACCAATGTGTGGGGGTTGGGCAACAAATACGCACCTCGAACCCGAATATTCCAACAAGCTGGAGGTTTATTTGGGGCTTGCGAACCGTCTTAAAGATTGCATTCACCTTCGTGGAAAAAATAAGACATTCGAACTGCTGTCAATAATTGGCGCACGAAAGCCTCAATAAGCACTTTTTGTTTAGTCAGTGAAAACTTGCATTACTATATTATATTTAAAAAATAAATGTAAAGCATACGCACGATGTTCATTAGCCTTATGATGTATTGAGTCTGTAGATATTTGCTTTCGTTGAGGGACTTGTGTATTACACTGTCAAACATGACGTACATTTCAGGTCGCCACACGGTGGGTGGCTCTGCACTATCATCTAGAAGGTTTCAAATCATGGCATGTACTCAGTGCTTCGCAAGATTAGAATTAACTGTGTAATCATTTTTTTTTTCTAAATATGCACGGTCCCAAATAAGTTGATCTTGTTTTTTGTGCAAGATAGTGAAACAGTCAGTCCATTTGAAAGTTTTCAAATTCATGTCTCAAATTGTAGTTACACGTGCAGCACGTGCTGAGTTCTACCAAATTATTTCAAAGCAAAAGCCTAATGCAGAAGAATTAGGACTTCTACTGTGTACAGAAAATTGCATCATAGTTATAAAATGGGCAGTATGTATGGTGCGCATGTAACTGGAATTGCAGCCTGCTCCTTGGTGTTTGTAGAATAGGATGAGGGGACTGCTGAGAAACGTTAAAAGTTTTAAAAATAAAATAAGCTTACTTTTTGGCAGTAGGCTTTCAAAGGAACGTTCTTCAACGGGAACTGCAAACATCATAGTGATACTGAATGTAAAAAGTAATCAAAGTCAAAGGTTATAACTTTTCAAAGGCATGCTTCTTCAGCAAAATTATAGAGGAACAGTTCGTACTTTGCTGTCAATTAGTTTTTTTTTGCTGGCCCGTTTTGCGGTTTTAGTTGTTAAGATATCTTCAAGATAATTTTCTGAAATTATTACAATATCCGATATCAGTGGATATGTGTTTATCTAAATACCATCACCTCAAAATAGAACCATGCCCAAATAAAGTAGATAACTCTCTTTTTTTGAAAGAAAAGTCGACGAAGAGATAGTTTTTGCATGTTTTACCTAAAAAGCAAGTAAAATTAAGTAAAAATATAAGGGACTTTCTAATTGTCGCTATATTCCGCGTCCTAAATATCATTTGTAGAAACATATTTACTCGGAACTCTTTAGTGCTACCAATTAAATTATTTAGAAAAAATAGAACGGCAACTTTGAACGCACTTAAGGTGTATTACCTTGAGGATCAGGATATAAGAACTTTTTCCGATTGCCAAACCACTGGCCTCTTCCGTTAACACAGAAGGTGCTAATTGTTGGTACGATTTGAAATCATACACACTATGATACTCTGAATACCCTGAACATCGGATTACATACTCAGATCACTAATACAGGAGCCGTTGAAATGAAGCAAGTAAAAAAAAAAAGAAACACTGAGGGGCCGTCGCCTTTGCAAGCACTTTTTTTTCATTTTCCAATGATAATCAATTAATGCACTCATTTCGCCACGCTTTGAACAGAATGTGTTGTTAGAGAAAAAACGTGAGTTTAATTAATTCATCGAGAGAATAAATGGCAAATAACTGATAGCACACCAGTATTGACACTGCACGCGAAGGGAACGCTGATGGTCGTACGTTCAAAATATCTAAGCATTTTTGCTTCGGGAAGTCTAGCCTTTAAAGGTCGAATGTTCAACAAATATCTTGTGTAGTGAATGATTTTGCCACTTACTTTCCAAGTGGATTGCCTCCTCAGGCGTCGGAAGCGGAAATATTCTGTGAGGGATGCGGCCGGATTTGTCATGTATGCGCAATGGCTCAATTCCATGTGTAAAGTTTAGGTATCCTTCCTGTTAAAAAAGTGAAAGATTTATGAATATTGCAAGCATTTCCAGTTGCAGACCGTTTGTGAATCGATAAACAAACATTTTATCCTTATAAAAATCCAATTCGTTAGGAAGTACTTTATGAAGAACGTATTCTATATATTTATTTTAAACTTCTCATAAAGAATGTCCTTTAGACGCTGTGGCGATGTGAACTTCGAATATGCTTAATACACTTTCATTTTTACGAAACTTAAAAAAAGCTCTGCAGGTTTATATAATGTTCGCGAAAATCTATGTAGTTAACAAATACAAGATTCATAAATAACTATTGCATAACCTCCAGTACATTTGTATAATGGTGTTTATTGTTCCTATACGAATATATACTTTAAAACATATTTGTACATACCATTTCAATTCCCGCATCAGTTTCAGTAATTGTAAAGGAAGCTTTGTGTTCCGAATTTTCATAAACACTATTACGTATGTCTGTAGTATCCATCTGAAAAGAACATATTATAAGTAAAATAACTGCGAAGTGATATTCATAAAAGTAGCAGCTGAAATGCTAAATGGTTATTTTTATAGCCAAGCTATTTATGGCTAAGGTTTCGGGGATTTCGCTTCGTTTTACGCAAAAGCTTATGTCCCATCACTTGGATTTGCATTTTCAGTAGATTAGGTATCAATAGGCTCCATTTTCAAGATCAGTAGACTCTCAGGTAGGTAATAAAGATTTCTCAAAGATTTCGCACTGTGCGACCCGCGTCGGCTATGTCTGCTCTCGCACCGCCCTCTCCTTGTAGTCGCCCCAAGCGCTTGCGAGCCTACACTCTAAAAAAAGCCCGTGCGTCCACTTTTCCGCAAAACACTCGGAGAGCCAATCCCCATAACTTACGGAGGCAGCTCATCGAATGACAATGCCGAAACATATGTTTAGACCAAAAAACGCAGTCTGAGTTCTGACATTAAGCAAAGCAAAACGTCACCCTTGCATTGCCTAATGTCACAACTCAAAGTGGATTTTTTTGGTCTAAGGATATGTTTCGGCATCATCATTCGCTGAGCTGCCTCTGTAAGTTGAGGTGATTGGTTCTCCGAGTGTTGTGCGGGAAAGTGGACGCACGGGCTTTTTTTAGAGTGTAGTTTCCGTTCCTTTCGCTCTTCCGGATTGGCGGTCCCGTCGCGCGTGTCTACTTTCCGCCGGGTGGCGGTGCCGTCGCGGGTGCCTTTTTCCCTCCGGCTCGTCACGATGACCACCGATCAAGACAATAAATCTGGTCGTACCTTTGTTCAAAATTATTTGACACGTCTGTGTCGTGCGCTGAACAGCTTCGCTGGTCATCCACCTTCTCGGAGTGGAATTGCTCATGCTTTTTTTTCTTCAAACTATGGCATTTTATAAAAACTCAGGAAATAATCATTATCAACAAGAGGCACGACAAATATCAAGGTGAATGGTTGCATAAATCATCGAGGAAGTAAAAGTTTCTCAAAGAATGCAAACAAAAAAATCGTGGGAGTCGGCACGTCATTTAAACAAATGTTCGTTATTTGCGTTACAAATAGCGAAGACAATTCTGCTTGAACGGCATCTTCAAATGTTCGAAAACCTCCAAAGGCACTAGAGGACACATCAAATAACTTCTGAGCAAATAAACAGGTGTAATGTTTATTTTCTAAGTAAATTATGTGAATTTCAAACAATGAAGCGGAAGCATGCTTTTTTGTGAAAGGTAATCTTTTCTTACCAATTCGTGATTCACCTCTCCATACCTAGCCTCGGAAAAATACAGGCTGTCCCCTAAAACACTGGAGTCTTCCAAGTCTATGACGTAGTCTTTAGAAAGTTGAACAGCGCCTCTTGAGTTGCCGCTTCTGCTTTCAATCAGAACCGGATACACGACACCTGGAACGTAACCGCTCCTGTTATCCGACCGTTCCATACTCGCAACAAACTTCTCGCTACAGAGGGAGAAACAAAACGGTGGTCACAAGTCACGGTGTTTTTCCTAAAAAAAAAAAAAAATCGTACGTAGATCTCCCAGCAAAGTTCCCTTCCACAAACACAGGAAAATTGACCCAACAAAAATGAGAAAGCCCTCCTGCAATGACAAGACGTTGAAAACGTAATGCAATAAAAGCAAACCACGGTAAGCAAACCTATACTCATGTGAATAGCTCGAACGGAACAAATTTGAAAAATCGGGGGAGGGGAGGGGGCATCTTCCAATCGTGTTACGTTAACACTATTTATTCTTTCATATGCATTTCTTAATATGCAGCTCATGACAAGATATGCTACTTCGCTAGACTTCAAAATGCTATTAGAGTGCCATACCACATAAAACAAAGGAAATGAAGAATCTAGATTACCTTGTTGCTAAGTTTTTATTAATAATGGTTATAATCTTAATCTTTTGTACCACGCCTACGTTCCTGTTCTTGCGAAAACCTTTTGGATATCTGTCAAACTTTTCGCTCTTCAGCACTCTAATCGTACGCACCATGATGAATGGAACATCGTTTTGGATGGTCACATACATTTGGTAACCCCGATTGTACACGTAATCTGAAAAAACAGAGGCTAACAAAAGCGTGAAGAGTAATTTTCTCGAATGCCCAACAACGCGAAGGGATTTCTGGCAGATTAGAACTCGGCAAAACGCAAACATTACGGGATTGTGCATTCCGTTCATGTACAATGCAATTGGCGTTCCGCATTAATAAGCCACATTTGAATCCTCTCTTAATTTGTAGGTGTAATAGGAGGAACCAAGTACATGGTTTTTACGTAGACCTGACGTACGTCAGACGTTGAATACGCGAACAACTGCTTCCGGTATGTTGACCTCGGTGTCGCTTTGTACATATTTATGACGTCCTTTGGCTGGCTGAACTGTGGAGTACGATGCCTTTAGAACTTGTTTGTGACTGGTGCGTTCAGGATCCTATCGTACCCATACTTTAAACGTAATCTCGAAGTGTCCACAAACGAACTCACATGAGCTAAATTATCATGCTCTGAGATGTCGCAACCCTTGAGCTTGGTGCTAGAATTCCCGGCCAAAATTAAGATGGAAAGTTCGTACTTTTCGCTCGTACCACCACCGCTGCGACAATGCCAGGATCCTGGCCGACGGCATGGAACTTATATGACGTCAAAGTGCGGAAATAGACGGTCAACTTTTTAAGAACGCGGAAAGAGACTTACGAACTGCTGGCTCCAAACCATTCTTTGGAGCCAGCAGTACTTAGGAACGCTGTTTAAGCTAAGTTGCTTTGACAAATCTATGTATATAAAAAAAATAACATATTTGGTTAAGGGCACAAGAATTCCGTTCGCAACATCTATGTCACAGATACAAAAACATATATTCACTAGGTTTGCGTTATCCTAGTCGCAATTTTATTTTCCTTGTGTTTTTGAAGACATTTGGATATAGTACCGGGTGTACCAAGTAGCGGCCAGACTCTTTCAATCGACCGCAAAATTTGGTTTCTTAACCTATCACGCTACGATGTTCTGCAGCTTTGCCCACAGGTGGTGCATTTGTTCTATAAAATTTGCAAAGAGCGAACGTACCTGAGGAAAATGTAAAAAAAAAAAAAAAGGTTTAACTCCTATGGAAACGTAACGAAGTCACCAGTATTCAAACAATAGGGCGCCCTATTGATTGAAGACCGGTCGCTTCGCTGGGTTTTCACGGGCATTAAGAATATTGCTTTCTTTACTTTTTCCTCATGTAAGTTCACTTTTTGCAAATTTTATAGAAAAATATGCGCAGTATGTGGGCAAGAATGCACAAAATCGTGGCGCAATGAGCTAAGAAACCGAATTTTGCTGTCGTTTTAAATAGCTTGGCCGCTATTTGAGACAGCCGATAGAATACCAACGTATTAAAGTATCCGAATCAACCCGTCCTGTTATCGGGAGATATAGCGGCATATATTTATATGAGGCCGCTCCTACAATCATTGACAACCTAAGTGAAATGCGTGCTGACTGACGACCATCTCATTATTTCTTCTCATCCAGTAAAATTGCGGTATTAGAGGATAAGAACACGGAAGAAGCAATCCCGAAGCAAGATTCAAGATTATAATATAAAGCCACACCATGCGCTATCTCATTTGTCAGCGACTATGAAAGAAGCTTTGAATACAAACAATGCAGTATGTCTACCCAAGCCTACTTAAACCCTACGCCTTTCAGGGGGAATGGTGCATGCCGTAATACACATTACTTCTCGTCTGCAATATTCTGTGCGGAATTTCCAAGATAACTGTTTATCGTGCCCAAAAGCTCGAAGGTTGAAGCCCAGGAGAAATGTGAACTTCGATTACACGTCACTTAGAAAAACGCCATGACGAAGCGTCTACATAAATAGAATCAATACATCACCGGCGTGAGCAGTTGCAACGCTGAAAATGATGAGTGTAGCCGAATACATTTTCCGTCATAAAGACGTCCGTAAGGGAGAAATTTATAATTGGAAATGTAAGAATGCCTTTGTCAGGAACCTTTTTAAAGGGTGAAAAGGTTAAGCGTTCTTTAAAAGATCACACAAAATGCGAGATAATGGAAACAATACGTCAAATGACGCACACAGGAAGTTGCATTTATTATGTTGTGAAAGACAGCTTTTGCACGAGACGAGCATTAATACCGGCAATTGACCCTTTTCAAACATCAGACCACCTCGTGGCAGTCTCAATACGTAGTTCCCAATTCTCCGCACTAATGACGGTGATAGAAAATCAAGATCGTCTACCTTCAAACACTCCCGATTTTGTGAATCAAAAGCGACTTACAAAGACCAACTTGTTAGAATGGATTCTCCGCTTCTCTTTTGGCATGCTTTCAAAGGCGCTCGCTTCTCCAAGGGAGCAGAAGCTGCGTAGCGCCGCTATTAGAGCGTCGAGTTTGGCTCTGCACGTGGTAGGTAGACTAACTTTTGACAAGGGTCTATTGAAGCGGGTCAATAGACACCAGCGGTTTGCTTATCGAGGTGCAGACTAAAAATGGCTTGCACTGACGTCACATCAGCGACCATTCTGGTGGCCATTGCTTGCGGAGCACGTGGCTTCTGCATGCCTGCACAAAAATAAGTATGTAATATTACGTTACATGCCGGCCACACATAAACGCCGCGATTAACGAGACATGCGAATGTCACGAAACCGGCCGATCGGAGACGCGGAAGAATACACCAGCGGTTTTCGACAAATGGCTCCTCAAATCTCTCGTCGGCTCGATAGAAAAAAAGTGCGATTCCATACACTGAATAACAGTGATGACACGTAAAACTGAGATTACACAATCGTGTACTTTATGAGCGGCATCTGACTCGCTGCTAGGGAAGGTCAGAACAGAACTCGAGGGCTACGTTTCCTCAAGTGATTTCTATTGACATATTCACGACCGAGTTGGCATCGCGCGCGTCTCCCACGGGAAGGCACGCGGCTAGGGCCCCACCAGCCAAATTTCTCATTTTATCTTTCTCGTCTCTTCTATAACCTTCTCATCTTGTAACGTATCGCTCGTTCATGTTAAAAATGTTCTAGACTACAGAGTATGTACAAAAGAAGCTGAATCCGGCCAAATTGGGTCATTGGTCCTTTGTCACCGTCACGGGATGCACGCTGTTCTTTTTGCTTTAGTTAGGGGTGCGAGTTGACCTTATTGTACATTTATTTTCAGTTCAGAACCTACTTTTTATCCGTGATAATACAGTAATGCATAAGGACGACACCCAAAACTGTAGGGAGACCGGGAGGTATCCAGGGAAGCCCTGTAGATGCCGCCACTGTGTTCACGCGTTATAAGCGGTCGCAGGCGTGTCAAAACGACCATTCTTTTGGTCGTTCAGGATCACTAGCCTAAATCCACTACGGAGCATCCGATTCGTGCGGAGCCATCGCGCCTCCGACTCCACCAGCGGAAGACGACAGGCCTCCGGGAGTGACCAACTGTCGTCCCGGCATTCCCCATCGCGCTGAGCTATCGTCATTTCCGGAAAGCGCCATCACGCGTCGGTCGACCGCCGTTCCCGTCATGCTCGGCGAGGCAGGAAGTTACGTCTCCCAGAGATCGGCTTCCACTCGGCTCCGGGAAGATCAGCCGATCGAGATCTGGGAGTTCCGAACCCTTAATCAGAGTCGGCGCTGCTCCAAAAGGACGTGCGAAAGACATCCGGGTTGATCTCAAACGACCAGTGGCGAATGCGCCCTCCAAAAAAGTCGATCACGGAATGCGCCAAAACGACGAGTGGAATTCGTCAATAATCAAACGCGAATCTGTTCAAAAAAAGAAAAACTTAAAGGGACCATGAAGTCCACTTTGAAGTTCAATTTAACAATTGATATGAACGCCAGTGTCTTGCAGGTAATTTTTACGAAGTTTTCGACCAATGTTGCGGTTGCGCGCTGAACAAATTAATTGAAGAGAACCAGCAACAATCACACCGGGACCGATAATAGCGACGCCCGAGACTGCGAAAAAATCCAGCTTATGAATGACGTGGACCGTGACATCAATTGAACGGAGTCCGCTTGTCCTCGTTTTTGATCGTAAGTTGTTAAACAATATTTTGTATTTTTTCTTATTTAGTAACAACAAAATTTTTATGCCTTTGACAGATCAAATTACTACAATGCACTAATATTATTTCAGTCCGCGGGCGCGCGGAGTGAAAAGACTAAATAGCTGAGAGCCTTTGAATGGAAGCTGAAACAATTCTTAAAAAAAAATAAAACCAGTTAGAAGAGATTCTTAGACTATTTTTATCCAGTGAATTTTAATATCACGTGCATTTTCCACGAAGATTTATACTAAAAGTGAGAAAACCCGAAAAACCTTCGGCCAGTCGTGACGTCGCACTAGGATCTTTGGGCCGCTAAGCGCGTGTCACTTGTGTGGGCAGCGCGTACAATCGGAAGCTTGCCAGGTGCATTTTCCCGCACTGACGTCAGTCGTGACGTCTATTTCTGACCTTTTCGAAGAGAGCAAGAGTGCACGCGCATAGCTTTGACAGGTGCTGAAGATGCGTCAGAGCAGGGATTCCGAAAACTCCTAGTAAGACGACATGCCCCGTGCCCTTTGATATTAACTTTAAAAAATAATTTCTGCAGCCTCCGTGCGCCCAATTGAAAAATAATCTCGATATTCGTAATCTTGGAGATCAAATGAAGACGATTTTGGTGTTTTTCCTTAAATACAAAAGCGCTGTTGTTTTTGAGTTCGTTTTTTGATGATGCCAAGTGAATCTAGACGCCCTAAGTATCCCTAAAAACCAAAAAAAATTTGTAGTAATGCGGGAATATTTCTTTAGTAAAAAGGTAATTGAAGGCCGCCAAGCCTCGGATCCTTCCAAAAACGAAACCGCTCTCATTAGTCACCGCTCGCATATCAAAACGATCTCGGGCCAATGGCGTTGGACGACGTTCCGTCGCGCAGTGATCCCGAGGTAGCCGCACCGGCGGAATCTCCTTGTCATTCGAGCTGCGATCATGGCGAAGTTCTCTACGCTCGTGGACCTGACGCCGTTAGAGGTTGAAATTCTTCGTCGGACAGCCGACCTGGGGATGATCTTCTATGGCGCCACTAAGACGTGCGATGTGGACGATAGCAGCGCTTCGGAGTCATGTTCGGGTTCCGAGGACGACGAAACGCAGACCTTTTCGGGCGTTCTTCGATTTGCGGTTGGGGCAAGTCGTAACCAAACAAACGTTTGGCATCGCAGCGTAACCTCTGGTACGTGATGTCAAACGGTGTCGCCACGTTGACGTTCGCCTCGGGAGGACGGCAGGCTGGTTCAGACATGTGCAACGAGCGCGTTACCTACCACTGCGTCCGTTGCAACCGGAACGACGAGAAGGACCGCTCTGCGCCGCGCGTACACACACCTGCAACCACTGCAACAAGCGCAGCGGGTCGGCAGCACGGCGACCGCTTCTATGCCGCCGTCAGCTGTTTCAGCGGTGCCCCTAAAAAAGGGGACGCACTGCCACTCAATGCCATAACTGAATAGACAGACTGTTTTCTATAGCCAAAAGCTTTTTTTTCATGATAGGCTTGATGGGTACAATGGATGAAAAAAAAATGAAAAAAAGAAAGATTCAGTACACCGTCTTGGACGATCATGACTCTAATACACGACTTTACTAATAGTACAAATATCGGCACACGCCTTTTCTACGATTACAAAAGACATGTAATCTTAGCAGCGATATAGCAACGTAGAAATATAATTTCGGCATCAGATAGATGTTGCGAGCGTTTAGGATTGCTAACACTAATCACTTTTCTCCGGTGATAACAACACGTGAAAATTCGCATCCTTTATACGGCATGCTCCAGTAATACCTTCAACTTGAGCACACGCATGTAATAGCCAAATAAGAAACCCGGGCGATGCTCGAGGACACAAATATTTAGAAAGGACCACTGTAGTCGAAGTAAAGAAACACGACGGCGCGGGCGTTTCTGCTGTCTTGAGAGTGCCGCCACGACATCGCCGCACGAGTAGGTGGATCGTCCCTTCTAGTACGTGCTGGGTTACCATAGTGACACACGACAAAAATTCACAGTCAAGAATAGCGCTTTTACACAGAACGATGAGCTTTCACGACGCCGTCCACGTCGACGATCACCACCGACGCCTTGTTTGAGGCGCGAGTTCATGATACGTGCGCATCCCGAGGGACTGGGAAATTCACCCACCGCGGAGGAACGGAAAGAGAAAACGTACTCCCTTGTTTGTGAAACAATAATTGCAGTATCGCGTATTGCAAACTAGAACTATTTTACGTCTTGTGAAATTATCATGCACAACATAACTAAATGAACTGAAAAATGTTTCTTTAGCTAAACTTTACAAAGGCCGCCAAAATGTTCAAACATACGATAATTTCATTGGTCGGCGCAGGAACAGAAAAGAGTCCGCACGTATTTTATTGCTGCGTGATTAATAGGTGGTTCTGCCTTCTAAAACTGAAGATACTCATTCACTGACACTTCCTTAACGCAATTGCACCAAAAAGTAGCTTCCCCAAAAACAACTTGAGTGCCCCTTTAACTTGAAAAGCGTTCAGTGTGGTACATGTCAAAATATTGTTTTTTTTTTTTTTATTTCTTGAGAAAAACAAAATTGGCGAATCATTGCGTTCTGTTCGGTTTGTGGCGCGGCTCTTAGTTCCACGCGCCATGGAGCTGCAGAAACTATTCCAGGCTGACGCATTACAGTTTCCAATACTCGTCAGGGTTCATTTAAAAAAAAAGCTTCTGTTATACCTCGTTCACTGTCAGAAAAAAAGGGTGTAGTCGGATGCATCGGGCGCACATGCACCCTTTCCTTGAAAGATGAACCCTGCGTTAACCAGCCAGTGCACTTGTACACCGACAATGAGCATACTCCTCCCCCCTAAAAACCTCTTGGTGTATCAGTGCACCCCCAGCTAGTCACGCGCCCCGATCAGCTTGTGC